GTGGGCCAGAGTTCACAAATTGGGATCCTGGGCATAGACCTACACACCACTCATCAAGCCAAGGCATCCCACATACAACACAGAGGAAGACTGGCACAGATGTTAGCTCAGCAACAATCTTCCTCAAGCAAAAAGAGGAGGATTAGCAACAGATGTTAGCTCAGGGCCAATCTTCATCAACAAAAAAAACGGGATCAAACTTATACACACAACATAGATGAATCTCAAAAACATCACATTAAGTCAAAGAAGCCCAATACATTGAGAATATGCTGCACATGCTGTACAAACTTAAGTACCCCATACTGTATACACTGTAGCAATACTGTAATGTACCATATACTGTAATGTACCATATACTGTAATGTACCATATACTGTAATGTATACATTGTACATGCTATAATGGTTACATTTATATTAAATTGTATAAAGAGTAAAGCTAACCTATAGTGACAGGGAGTAGATCAATAGTGGCTAGGGGCCAAGAGAGGAGGGATTGAAGGGAAAGAGGCATGAGGGAGTTTTTTAGAATGATGGAAAAATGTTCTCTATCCTGATCGTGGTGCTGGTGGTTACATGGGTACACACATTTATTAAAAAGAATCAAACTATACATTTAAAATGGGGTATTTTATTGTGTGAAAATTATACTTAAGATATTTTAACAACCAATGAATTATTTTCTTAGTCTTCAACCCATCAGAAACAAAAATCGGTTCAGGATACCAAATGTACTATGTATCTTAACTTAAAAAGTTCATTTCTAGTTCTCATTTCCCTCAAATAATCCTTGAAATACAAATTAGTGGTCAAATATTTTCACTTTGTTTCAGTAATTAAATTTCTTCCAACTATAATATATTTGCTAAGGCTGAGTAAATATAATGTCCCCAAAAAATGTGTGTGTGTGTGTGTGTGTGTGTGTGTGTGTGCGCGCCTCTATATTTGCTATTTCACGTATCTTTGACATTCAACTCCAAGCTCAGAAAACTAAAATTGTTCATAAACTATTTAGTTAAAGAACAATCAAACAGAAAACATTAAAACTTTAGAGAAATTTATCAAAGTTAAGCTCTACCTACCCATTTGCCAAAGTGGTGGCTTCTCTCATTTGAGCAATTGATCTGTTAACTAAATCAGCTTTCCTCTGATTATAGGCAGCCAAAGCCTGCTGCACTGACACAGGAACCATCTTCTCAAACAGATCTAAAGTTAGGAATGAAAATTTCAACAAAATTTTAACATGAAAACTCCAACTATAAAGTGACTGTCCATATTTCCTTTCCAATCTTCACAAAAAAAGTCTACAAATATTGGGGCCGGCCCGGTGGCATAAGCAGTTAAGTGTGCGTGCTCCACTGCGGTGGCCTGGGGTTTGCTGGTTCGGATCCCGGGCGTGCACCAACGCACCGCTGGGCAAGCCATGCTGTAGCGGCATCCCATATAAAGTGGAGGAAGATGGGCACTTATGTTAGCCCAGGGCCAGTCTTCCTCAGCAAAAAAAAAAAGAGGAGGGTTGGCAGATGTTAGCACAGGGCTGATCTTCCTCACCAAAAAAAAAAAGAGTCTACAAATATTTAAATTAAAGATCAAAACTAAATCACTATTGAAAGTACAATGATGAAGAGAATTTTTAGATCACTATATTCATGAACAGTGACAATGAAGGCTTTTTCTTTTAATTTAATTTTCTTAACTTTTAAGATGTGTTTGTCATTGAGTTTAAGGGATCTTTGGTGAAGATTTATACATAAGAAAACACTGCTCATTTGTTGATTAAACTGACTGAGAGAGCAACAGTGCCATGGTTCAATTTCCACCTCCACCAGTTCCTAGCTCTGCAATCTTAGGCAAACTAGTTAACCACTCTGTGCATCAGTATCTTCATCAGTCAAATGGGGATAATAATACTACCTATCTCATGTAGTTGTTGTGAGAAATAAATGAGCTTATATTTGTAGAGTGCTTAAAAGAGCCCCAGCACATGGTAAACACTTTGTGTTTTCTAAATAGAAATAAGTAAAATAATCACCCTTTCTCAATAACTTAGAATATTATCCTTGGGATCTCAGCTAGAGGCTACCACACATTGCATGTATCTACAAAATCCAAGGATGTTATAACATTTATTTATTTGATACAACCATGACTCCAGAAGTTCATATGTTTAAAGTCATATTTATGTATGCTTATTTTTAATGGTAGAATCTTAAACAATATAACAAACATTAATAAAATGATAAGTGCCTGTTTAAAGTCTTTATCATTACTCAAACAGTTTCAAATTTTCTGACTTTGTTGTATACTTTACATATGCCTCATTACTATTTACCTTCCATCTTAAAATTTCACTATAGATACAACACACTTTTTATTCTCATATTCATTTTGAACAACACGAATACAAATTATCTTCAAAGCATACAATAGCAATTGTGTGGTTTTAGCTACAAAAAACAGATTAAACTGGAGAAAAGATGAGTAAGATTAAAGAGCATCTGAAATGACATACCAGTGAATTTCTGGCTGATGGGCACATTGACTGGGGTAGATTTCACAAGTGTGGCTTTGCCAATAGGGTCTAGATCTTTAAGGTCTGGAACTCGATCATGATAAATGAAGTCATTGTCTTTCTTTGCTGCAGTAAGGGCACGGTTGATTTTGTCAGAAAATTCCTTCACATTGACATATTCATCATAGCGAGACGCCACTGTTTTAATCAATTCTGCTGCGTGCTAAAATGTTTAAAAAAAAAAGTTTTCTTTCTTTTTTCCAACAAAGCATCCAAGCATTGCTTTTTTTAAAAAATCTTTAAGGATCTGCATTTCCAGCAATGTGGGCTACAGAATAACGTAGAAATCCTCCCATCACAAAATACTAAAACACCAAAAATGAAGAATATTACCTAGCAGACATCTCTTTAAACACATGGGTAAATTACCAAGAAAGTAAAAGAAAACCATGGGCCAATAAGTATAAATTGACACTGAGGAAGGCTAGCTGTCAAGTATTTCTTTTTTTTTTTTTTTTTTTTAA